ACCTTTTTCTAAAATTCAGATGCTCCAGTGGCGGAGATACAGGGTATCGGTGGCATATTTTTCTAAATAAAATATTACGCCACTGCTTGACGGTAACAATTATGATATTTTCGGATTCGTCTTTCAATTTTCTACAAATTACTACTCTTTTATGAATTTCGAGGAAAACTTAAAAAACTAACTGAAAACACCGGACCTCAACCTACTGGATTTCTTTTTGTGAGGTGCTGTTAAACAGTTGGTATACAGTGAACAAATTAATACATCTGAGCAGTTACAAGAAAGAATAAATAAGGCTTTTTCATCAGATTCAGGCAACAATAAATTTCGAACAAATTACATTTTCACTACTAAAAATATGTCGCGCCTGTGTTCGTGCAACTGGAGGTATTTTTGAGCATTTATTCAAATAAAATCATAAAAATAATGATGAAAAGTATTTTTTTTGCAGTTTAACACCCTGATCTTTTTAAGGCGATCTAGATAAAAACTTTATACAAAAGACCCCTCTTTTTTCACCATTCACCAAAGAATACGAGATTTCATTTTTGGTCACCGTTTATGAATCACCCTGTATAACAGGTCTAGATATTATGGATAGTAAATCTGAACTAAATATATGAGGCAGTTGGGAATAATATTTGACACAAAACTTTCATTTAAAGACTATGAAAATTTGCTTACTAAACTTAATTGAAAATAAATGAACTTTCACAATCAGAATTTTGGGTTTTTATAATACTGTTTTTTTTTTTTCATATCATTATTTTGTTCAACCATTTAATTGTAAGTTTAAAATTGATAAATCTGAGTTTTCCATTGTAACTTATTTTAGAAATAAGAAAGGGTCCAATTTTCTCACAATCCTTTTATTTTTAAAAAGACTACCGGTTTCGAGGTTAAACTTTACACCTCATCTTCAGGTCTTACAAGGATATCACAATTACAGGAAAATTCAACCATATTACTACAAAACATATTGAGATTTTGTCAACAAGATAAATTCCACTTTTTTTAAAACAAATTTTAAAGGCCAAATACAAAAAAGTTACAAACAGGTATTATTAAATTTAACAATTCAGGACAAAAGTTAGATTTAATAATACCTGTTTGTAACGTTGTTTTGTATTTGGCCTTTAAAAACTGTTTTTAAAAAAGTGGAATTTATCTTGTTGACAATATCTCAATATGTTTTGGATAGTAATATGGTTGAATTTTCCTGTAATTGTGTTTCTGAATGAATTCCGAAGCTAATAAAGCGTATGGATTTATAGTTCGCAACTGTCGTGATTTTTCAAGCTTAGATGTCATAAAGCTCCTTTACTTTAGTTACGTTAGATTGAAACTTAAATATGCCTCTCCCGCACAGTGGTGTCCACATTAATAAACTGGAATCGATTCAGCGTCGATTTTTAAAATATTTAAATTTTAAATCTGGTGGCTACTGTCCACATATCGGATATCCGCGTGAGGACCTTTTGAGTAGACATTCCTTTATCAGCCTTGAAACTAGACGGAAATACTTTTCGCAGGTCTTTCTTTTTAAAATTTTACGTAATTTGGCTGACTGCCAGGAATTTCTAGCCAAATTATCATTTTCTATACCTAGACTTAGCTCTAGAGAAAACGAAACATTTTATTTACCAACTCATCGTACTAATGTACTCAAACATTCACCACAACTGTAATAAAAATTCTCTAGATATCTTTAACTGCAGCCTTAATGACTTAAAATAACTTTATTTTTAACGTCTGGTAGTTTCAAATATGTAATTTTAATCTTCATTTATGTGTATTATTTAGTGTATAGATTTTATTTATTTCCTTCTTTTTATATGATGTATTTGTATTTTTTTTTGTTTGTTCTTTTTAATTTTTTTTTAAGTGTTTGTAATTAATGTACTTCTTTTATTATTGTCTGTAAAATCCCTATTCTATAATTGGGTAGTACCTGTTGAACAGTGTAATAAATAAAATAAAATAAAATTATCCTTTTAAGACCTGAAGAAGAGGTGTAAAGTTTGACCTCGAAACCGGTAGTCTTTTTAAAAATAAAAGCATTGTGAGAAAATTTGACCCTTTCTTATTTATAAAATAAGTTATTTAATTGTATTTACTAAGAAAGTTAAAAAATTCTAATACAACTACTTCTTTCAAATGTTAGAAAGAAATATGTCAAATTACTTCTAATTAAGACATACCTAAGCCTGTTTGAAAAATAAATAAATATTAGTAGTTTTTCCTTTTTTTCACCAAAAAATAGAATCTACCTTCAAAAGTGTGAAATAACTCTCCCCAGTACCTTTAATCGTTGCCGAAAATCAAGGGAACCCCTCCAAAACAAAGTGACAGTGACACAGGTAGCTCCGCTTCCTTAAACTTGCGCGATGAGCGCCCAGGCGACCTCTCGGAACTTCCCGCGGCCCAAATGTCAATTTGATGCAACTTAATTATGCAAGAGTTAGATGGCCTATTATTAATAATTTATATGGAGGCATCGGCGGGGTTTATAAAATATTCAAGCCGCTTACAAGATGAGTTTCGCAGGATGAATAATTCATCCGCGGGAGTTAAACTTCGTAGCATTTGCGGAAACCGAGTAAAAATTAGAACGCGATTACTCCCAGACATTGCGGGGGTAATTATTCGTGAATGAATTACCCGCCCTGCGGTTTTTAACCGCAACAACCAGGTTAATCTCATGCGGGAGAAGGGGTTGCTTAAATCGCGGATTGTTTGTTTTAAAGTGGGGTGACGAACTGCTTGTACATCAAAAAGTAGTTAAAAAGGGTAAGTTAAAACACGAAAATACGATTAGTTTTGTCTTTAGCAATAACAGAATCGTTACCAATTTTTGAAATATTTTTCAAAAAATTTGTAAGAAAAGGGAACACAAAACATTGTGGCATCTGTAAAGACAGCTACACAATCTAACTTGCACAAACAATTGCAGATTGCCAATAAAGTTAACTTCAAGAACATTATATCTTTATTGCCTTCCAAAGGTCCATAAGACTTCCACTTCGATCAATAGTGAGTGCACTAGATTAGATCACTCACTCACCTATTCGTCCAGAAAACTGAAGATCTGGTAGGAAAGATAGAACACCATGTCACAACACGATGTAGATTTTATAGACAAAAACAAGGGATCCAACTAGATGTATATGAAAATGAAGTAACGTCGTCGTTTGCAAAAGTACCAATTGAACAAGCGGAAAATCTACATTGAAGACGAGCATGAGAATTTAGTAGACTTGCCAGATGGAACTCCTTCAGTTTTGTGAATAAACTGGAGTAACAATGGAATCAACCATATCCCCAACTATGGCAAATATGTATGGAAACATGGAAACCTTCGAAGAAGAAAACCCTGCAGTCGCCTCCACTAAAGCTGAAGCCGTTGGTTTAAATATGTTGATGATACATTTATCATCTGCCTTCGTGGTTGTAACGTACAAAGTTTTCTGGACTACATTATTGGAATACATTCGCATATCAGTCTCATCATGAAGTTGGTACAAAACGGTACCCTTGTGTTCCTGGATGTCTTGTTAAGAGAGAATCAGATGATAACCTACGGTAGACGGTTTATAGAAATTCAATACACACGGATAAGTACCAACCAAGTATACATTGGGCAATGATGAAGACATGTTAACGAGAGAAGTCATCAGTGCAGATATATGTGATATACCGAATATTAAAAGAGCAGTGGAAGAAAAGATTTTGGCAAAGATTTTACAGAGAAAAAATATAAATCCACAAAAATTGATATCAAGAAAGACGAGGACTAACTGCAATTTCAATTAAAGCTATAGGCGCACACGAGATGTTCAAAACTTGTGTGGAACTGTTTACGAATGCCGACTGAACTGGCCACCAATAAAACTGTGTTGGGTGCCAGGACACAAAGGCATTTGTGAGAACGAGAAAGTGGATGAACTTGCTAGGAAGGGATCCGAGACAGAGTTCATTGGGCCGGAGCCCTTCAGTGGTACATCTCCCAGTGTGGTCAGGAGGGCTCCGGGCAAATGGACCGAGACAGAACATAGGAAATACTGGATTTCCAGACCAGGACATAGCCATTCTAAGGAGCTCATGGAGTATCTTTTGAAGGAAAGAGTAAACGATTTACTGAGCTTGAATAAAATCCGACTCAGGAGAATAACGGGACACTGTCACTTTAGGAAACATCTACATAAGCTAAAGCTTGTAGACAGTCCGGTCTGCCGAGGATGTGATTCGGCGGATGAAACTTCTCTGCATATCCCAGTCGAGTGCACGTAGTAGAATGACGCTCTTGTGGAGACCCTATTTGGAACCCAAGGAACAGAGAGAAGTGTCAGCAAGGAAGCTTTTGGACATTGTTAAAAGGACAAAACTACTTGCTGAATAGGACTTATCAGGACCAACCACTAGGAAAGGACGAAGAAGAAGAACTGCAACTTGGAAAGGAACCACCACCGGAACGACACAGACCAGTACACACAACAAACATTTGGCTTGAAATCTCACGAAATTTAAAACGACGACCGTGTTCACCATCTTGGATATTGTTCAATCTGAGTTATTTTTTAACACTGTTTTCCGAAAATTGATAATATTGGACCTTTTTAAAGGGAGATGATAGTTTTCATATGTTTTGCGACATCTTAACTGTCTTTGGACACATACTTTGCATATTTTAAACTTGGACTTACGGCATCTGGACACTAAGGTACTTGCAACTATTGAAACCCCTCATGTTGCTCCAACAGGGGTTATGCCACAAATATAAATAAAAATAAACAAACATTTTATATTATCGTAGCCGTTGTAAAATTGAGATTATTAAGATAGAGCTTCAGATTACTTCCAAACGCGAAAAATTCAGTCCACGATCCTGCTATACAGCAAAACGCACCTTCCTTGACGAACCGCCCCGGTCATTTCCTTGACAAGCCCTGATGGATTAGACTTCCAGAAAAAACACAAATATCAATTTGCGGACTACTCACCTTCACCCTCTGCATGTGAAGTTCCTGGCTGCGCTTCCGCTTCTCCAGCTCCACCTTCCTGGTCAACAGGCTCCTAATTTCGGTGGGGGCGTCCTGCGTGACGTTCTCCTCTTCCGCCTCGTCTTCCTCGCCGCTGAAATCCTCCAGTAATATGTCATTGTTGTTGGTCTGTAACAGGTGAGAGGGGATGAGGGATAGTCGCTAATAAGGGGGCCCAGCCAGGGGAAGAGATAAATGACACCGAATGGAATTGCTTAAGCCGGATGGCCAGAAATACGAAGAAAAGTAATTAAATAACAGGGATAATTGTTTATGGAAACTGTAATGTGCTGTTCATTTGGCATAGTGTTCCGATATATACAGGTAAAGAATGTTAAGAGGGAAATTCGCAGTTTTTTTAAGTTAAAAGTATTTACCGTGCGTTAAACGTCAAGCGAGAAAAGAGGGAAGGAAAATAATTAAAATTGATAATGCAAATGAACTTCTAGCATTAAAGAAAATTAAATTCAAACTGCAATCGCAGAACAGAACAACGCCAACGGGACGATTGCCACGTCATCGGTTTAGACTTCTTCACATTTCGAGAGAGGTGTGTTCTCTTTGAAACTCTGAATCTGGAGATTAAGACCTCGGGCCGGTATTTAAATTTCCTGTGTACACTGGTTCACTGCGTTCCGTATGACTTGAATTCACTGTCTTGTGACGTACCAGTTCTTGATTCAGATCGGATATGTCTCTTGAAACCGAGTACGTGGCAACCAGATTGGAAATTATTTTACAACCAGCAACCCAAAGCTGTGACTTTCTATGGTACCACCAATAGTAACATTACCCAAAAATCTCGCTACTCACCAATTCGTGTGGGGAGGGGGGCGAATCCCGGCTTCTCGACGTCGACACTACCGAGACGTACTCCCTGGTGTCGTCCTCGATCTCCAGTTTGAGCACGGGCGGATCGACGCCGCAGAGGTACACGGTGCCGAAGAACAGGAGCTTGCTGAGTCGGAGGGCGAAGTACGCCAGTTCGGTGTCCAGCTCCTTGGGGGCGTAAGTGAGATCTTGGACGGTGTACATGAGGGGTGTGAAGCCGCTGAGGACGCCGTCCTCGGGCAGCCTGATGGATTCGTAACCTGAAACAATATTAGTTTCGAAGAATAGTTGACTAAGACTAATGATGTAAGAAAAATACTCTGCTGACTACAGCCCCGTCCAGCAAAGATTAGTCGATGAGTCATTAGACACAGGTTCCAAAGTTCTTAGAAGTGTGCTATAGGCGAGACAATATAGTTATTTGAATGTCTTTTGCATAGACTTGCTTTGATCAGCGATTGCAATTAATATATGACATATTTGTAGGTTATCTCATCCACATTGAGGACAATTCCTATTAGAGATCTATATATCTATCTATACATTGCAATGTTCCACAGACAAAACTTTATAGGTGATTTTTTAGCCAAAAATAAAAAAAGTTCAACCATGCAGGTCTGTACACTCTTCGTTTACAAAATATAGGGTGATTATGTTATGTTTTCTTGTTATTTTGTTATTTTTTCGTATATTCAACAATTTTCAGAATATCAGGCAATGTAACCAATAACTACCCTCTGGAAAACTCTATAGCGCTATACTTTTTTAAAACTACGACTGTTCTCATCCTTCTAATTTTTTTCGCGACGATACTAACAGTTCTTTCGAGATAAGACACATTTTCTGTTAATTGTTTAATTAGCTTACTCTATATTTTTGCTTTTAAAACTGTTTGGGTGGTATAATATGCTTTCAAGTCTAACCAGCGAATAGAGACATTGTTAACAATTTACCTACAACAAAAGAGAAAAGACAATAACAAAAAAAGCATTGAAATTTTACCACCCTGTATCTCAAGAACGAAGAGTTTGCGGACCAGCGTTTATATCAACTTATTTCTCTCATTTTTGATGAGAGAACCTTGCATTTTTGTAATACTTTGTACAAAAAAAATTTATGCAACAATTCCTAAAGAAACTTGTACCGTTCTTATAAATTCCAGTATACTATCAACAAATTTCATAAACGGTTACAGAATATTCACACGACTAATCAGTTGGTCACCTCTTTGACCGGCAAAGACCAGCTAGAAAGGTCAAGTCACAAACCAATAAGCTTAAACTATCGAATGCAAATTCGATTTCGACTCTAATTTGCGAAGAATTCTTCTCACATACATATTTAATTAATTGACTACATGGTTATAAAACAACACATGTGTAAGGTAATCAATATTGGCCAATAAATTCGTTGTTATGTTCGGTATCTTCTTGTACGGCTGCTGCTGGTGACATCTGTTAAAGTACAGCGTGTCCCAAAAAAATATCAAACTAAATACTGTAGTGATTTTTTTTTAATAATTTACTTTGTGAAGTGGTATTAAAATATTTTGCTGTCGCTACCAATATGTTTGCAAAAATAATTATAAAGTAGCTCTCGTAGATTATACTGTTCAAGAGCTGAGCTTGCGACGAAGACCCTGAACGTACAAGCTCCTAAAGCTTCCATTCCAGGTACCCTAAGAAGGCACCTCTTAAAATTCTCAAATCAGGAGATTTCACAAACATTTACTTTTGGCATTGCTCTAGCCACCACCTTAACATAACTCTGAAGGATGCAGCCAATCAACACCCACATGGCGCTCAACGTGGGGCCAATACATCAGAAATTTCAACAGATAATGTTATTCTACGACAATACAGTGCTAGGACCGTTTTTTTATATGAAGAAACAAAGAAAGATACTTCGCCGTCCAATTATACATATTCTGGTATATGTAGATATTAGAAATGTTCTCCGTTCATATAACGTCTATTTATGTCCCCCTTATTGACTTGACTACTTGAAAAGAAGTTGATAAAACAACAAGTACTTCTTAAGGAAAAAAAAATGTTTATCCAAGTTCATGTGCGATTAATTGTGCAAAAAATTGCCAAACGCAATTCATTCTTCCAGAGATAACGTACGTGTAAAATCGCACGTGCAAACAATCCTCAGAATCTTCCACCTAAGTGTGGAATCTACGCTGGGGTCATTACATCGATAGTCGTGCATGAAAAAATAGGTTCCCACATAGCAAACCGTACATTAACATTTTTGAGCGCAAAATTCGCTTTTGAACCGAGGGGTATCATTATTCCTTGGCTCCCATTTTACCGAGAAATAGTAGTTTCGGATTTACCGAACCACTGCCGAAATAACAACACACATAATTACACACTGCGGGAGCATGTAGCTCGTCTCCTCTCGGACATCATTATATTTTATTAGCGCAGTTGCTGCTCTTCGGGAAAACTGACTGCACTTTTTTATTGGCCCGGACGTAATGGTGGCGATTAGACGCAATTTAAGGCCTCGGTTAAATTTATGAATTATCGCGATTATAATTTGGTAAAGTATGACTATAAATCAATCGGCGTGTGTGTGTGTGTGTGTGTGCGTAAGACCTGGCATTAAGTTTTAATGGAGTATTTATATGACCATAAGACAGAATGTTTTATGGAACAGGCAGTTATTATATTTTTAGGGCAGTTTTTCTCGTTCCTTTAGTTAAAAAAAAATTAAAAATAAAAATTACGACAGTTAGTCTATGCGTTGAAAAATTTCTATCTTGTTTTGAAAAGTTCAACGTCGTTGTTTCAGAAATATGAGAGTGAAACGTCAAAAAAACTAAAAAATAAAACGTTTTTTTGAGATGTTTTAATAAGCAACATAAAAAAAACATGTTTTGAACAAAAACCCTGCTTCTATGATAGTCCGGTCAAAATAGACATTTCAAATAACGAAAATTCCGGCAGACCACTATTTTTATGACCAATTTGACCGGACTATGAGGGAGATTAAAGGCCCCAGGAAGCGATTAGAGAAAAACGAAAATAATGTTCTAGGAGTATATTCCATTTTACCAGCAAATTGAAGAATGGACTGGCCACGGCAGAAGAAGCCACAAGTAAGCAGGAGAGGAACGTTGGAGAAACAGCATCTCAGAAAAAAACATATCTCATGTCGTCTTTAACTTAGCATTTGTGCAACTAGATGACGCTACAGATGTGATTGTGATAGCACCCAGGACAATTCCAAAAAAAGAAAACATCAGCGTCCTGGAACTAACTGCGAAACCAACGAAACCAAATCTATGTAGAAAAGAAGTTCAAGCCATCAGAAAACTGAAGGAAAATGAAGAAATTATCATCTCCCGACCGATAAAGGTACTGAAACTGTGAACTTGGATGTAACAGAGAATGAATCCAAAGAGAAGAATCTACTTCAGAATGGGATGTACAAGAAAATCAAGAAGAACTAAATCAAGAAATTTGAGACAGAGGAGGAGTCTGCGATTCCGACATCTGACATTCCCAAAAAACTACACTTTGTTTCTAGTGATTCCAGAATATCCTATAGCCTTCCAAAGGTCCATAAGTCAAACGTTAAATTTAAGATATGGTAGGAAACACCAGAGATTCCAGCTTTGCAAGAATTTAATCGAAGCCCCGTCGTACCAGACAAGTGTGCACTTTCTTTTTCTTTAGGGATTAGTTATAGATCCACTCCTGACGCCAACTATAGCAAATATCTCCTTGCAACCCATCGAGAAAAAATCCTGAAGTCAGCAACTAAAGCTGAAGTGTTCGTTTAGATATGTTGATTAACTTTAATTATCTTGAATTAATAAAAAATGAGCATAGATGATGTGGAAACTAATAATAAACGGTCTCAATGCAAAAACAACAATAGTGAAGAGTCAGAGTGGATGGAAATCTTCTGTTCGGAATAAAGTCGGCACAACAAATAAAATTATTAATGTGGAAAATAAACAGAACCGATCTGAAATGTTCAAAAACGAACCCAACATTATTGACAACACAAATATTATGCTCGCTGACTGGAAATTCAACATTTAATAATTGTACTTTTCATGACATTCAACATAAATATTAATAACAAATAAGTTATATTTTTGATATAAATTTTTGACAAATTATGTTCTAGTTCTGTCAAATTATTACCGGCTGTAAAGTACCACTTTCTTGGCATGTAAATAACTTTTAAACCTCAAATTTTTTAATTTCTGTAATAAATTAATGAGTTTTAACTACATATTATAAAGATCAGGCTACAGGTTGATTCAAGTAGACATTCACTATTGTAATTGGCTCACAATACAGGGTGTTTCAAATTTCATGAGGAAAAAACTTATTCTCTCTTGCACCCTATGCTTTCTTTAAAAATGCCTGAGCATCGTTGAGATAATGCTGAGAAAATCAACCAATGGCAGATTGTTAACGTCAAAATATAGCGATTGGGCCAAACATGCCATTATTAATGACTCGTCCTGTATATCAGCTGCTGTTTCTATTTATGAAACACTGACAAATTTGTTTTATTTGTAAGATTATTGTCCTCATAACCCGATAAAACGAACGCAATTTATAGAAAACAACCAATTTTTCAAACTGCCCGAGGAAAGCATTTGCGAACATTTGTACCCAAGCTGACAAGAGTCCATTGTAGACCTTGATGCATATTTTAGCATTATTACCCACAAAATTCCCGGCAAAAACTTTACCGTTGCCCGTAAAAGTAAAGCACCATATGGCAGCGACATTAACGTAAGAAATGATGCGGCCTAACGGCATGGAGACAATACTGCTTATGTTGTCCTGATATGCCTGTCCGCCTACCGAGCATGTCGGAGACGTCCTGCAAAAAAAAAAAAATTGATCTGCGAACACGGTTGATGTTTCGAATGTTTTGTGGAGAACGAGATTGGATTTTCATTATAATCTACATATGCCCAGGGACTTTTTTTATTCCAAATACGTAAATATTCAACGGGACACACAAAAAAAATAAAATAAATTATCTACTGCCACATCCCGACTTCGCACAGACGCATCAAAGGCCAAAGGGGAATAACGTTATCTGTATAAAAAAATACGCTTTCCTCTAACAAGTTACGTATTTAAAAATATCCCTGTCGTTATAAATCAGGCTGAACTACTATCGCATCCGGAATACCTATACAAATCAAGAACAAATTTGGAGGTGGCCTTGCCAAAATACTGTTTTAATATGCTATATTTAGCTGTTTGACCTAAGTAATTAAAAGAACAGACACATATGGTATCTACCTGCTACCTAGACTTAATTTGAGGAATACACATTTCGCCTTTATATTTCGCCTTTATATTTCGCCGACTATTATCGCTCTAACCCTGATACGGCTACAAATTTTGATTTACAACAACACTTAACTCAATGGCTATGCAGAAGTGACTGTTATAGGAAACCATAAAATCGTTAAAGCGGATTATCTGTATTACAAATTCTTCGCCATAATAAAATACAAAGTAACTAGATTAGCTGTAGCATTAAAATAATACCAATGACACAAGGTCAAATTTTATATTTATGACATAAACTGAGATGAAGAACAAAATATGTGGGGAAGGTAACAAGAGTTAGTAGTCGGCTATTGCATAAGAAAAAATTCAAAAGTCGTACGTATTTTTTCATTTACAAAATGCGACTTACATGTACCACAAACCTCTTTTATACTGTCTACGACATACTAATGCAATAATACTGACATAAATACTCTTTGCTGGGTTCCAGGCTATGTATTTATTGAAAAAATGAATGATAAATATTCTCTTTCTGGAGTTGAGGAAGACAAAAATGGAGGTGAAGAGGAAGAATAATAACAGAAATCAACTGAAGATATTAATACAGGCAACTTATTTATACAGGGTAGGAAAATGACGTCAATTGGGCATAATATGCCTTAAAATGCCACTCCTTACCTAGAAAGAGGGTGTTTTATCTGAAACTTTTCTCAAAATTTCTTGTTATGTCCGACAAGCCTTAGAGGTACTGAATTAAAAATTTAGGAGAATCCATTTTAAAAGACGACAAACTACGACATGTAAATGGTTTTCTAATTACTAGTAGGCGGCGCTAGTGACGTCATAGAAAATTCTACTGTTAAATGGAAACCTAATGGATTTTTACTAAATATTAAGATTTTTAAAGAAAAATATATATATTTGTTTCAATAAGTTACAGCCATTCGTTTTAGAGAAAACCGCGAATTAATTTATTACTGCAGTAGGTACCAAACTTATAAAACACAGGGTGTTTTATAAGTTTGGTCTCGGTAAGGAGTGACATTTTACTAAAGCATATTTTACTCATTTTTTTTATTTTGCTGTCGTCTACATACAACTGCTCTTTGCCTCATTCCTAATGGAACACCCTATACAGGATGTAAGAAGTTTGACTGCCATTACTGCAGCCATGAGATAGAGTAATCATCAACGAATAAAGAAGTTGTATACTACAGGGGCATAAGAGTAACACTTTTCAAAAAACAGCGAGTATTAATATTGGGGACTTTCATCACAACGTGACAACAGCGCTTAACCCAATCTACAGCTACAACTGATGCATACCACGTGTGCACACGAAAGACTTGTCCTACGGAAAAAATGTAAAAAACAATTATTGTGAAACATTTAGTAAATTTCAAGTTCTTAAATAAATAAAATAAAATGTATAGATTTTGTAGTACGAAGATAATGTTGAGCTTAAATTTTAGCTCGAATTTTAATAATTACGAATCTCTTAAAACAGGAACTTAACTTAATCCAATTTTCGCGCACTCGCCTCAAGAAAAGGAAATAGTGGTATGCAAAAAACAGTCAGACACGGTCCAATTCCAGATACCAATTGAATTGCGTATTGCTGGACAGCTTAGTACCTCGTGTTATCCGCCGCGCCGTTGTCACATTGCTCGATATGAATTTTATCGAATTTTAAATTTATTACAACGCTAACTATTTTTTAGAATTAAGCATAAAGAAGTTAAAAAAAATGATAAACATTGTATTTTATGGTATTCTATGCACACAGTTATGTCAATATTCCTTAATTAACCGAACTTTTGTACAAGTTGGACTTTGATCATTTTTTTCTCGGAAATAGTTAAGTTTAGGCCCCTTGTTATACATATAAGGTTTTTTTGTTTATTTTGATGTATTTATTCTTCTAACACCCTGTATACCAAGCAGGAGTTCAAATTTAAAATAAAAAAAATATATGTATATAAATTTTTTAACGTAGAAAAATGAGTACACAATTTAGGTTAGTTGCCGATCTTAATTGATAAATTGATGTTAATGGGAAGGCAACAAGGGGGGGGGGGGGTGACGTAGCCCTAATAATAAACTGCATTGCTTTCAAGAGAAAATATTACCTCTTTAAAAATAACATTAACCCCACTGTGCTTCACTTAATCTCGTTCTTCTCTTTTTTTTTTAAATCAACAAGAGTAAAAAAAGTTGTGAAATCCTTAAAATGAAATTGCAAAATAATCCCGGAGAAAAAAAGAACTGGCGATAAGAAAATAAAAAATTTGGAAAACCTAATTGTATCGAATTGACTTGAATATTGTTAATTCATCGTAATGTGCCAAAATACCCAGTTTGTAAAGACATCACAACTTTTTCAAAATTGTAAGCCCCACTTTAGAAATTAACATCTCCTCAATGTTAGTGATAAACAGCATCAAATAATTATATTTTGAGCCACCCTGTACATACCTGCCCTGTGTCGGTTCATTTAAAAATCACACTGTGTATCATTATACCAACACAGATAAAGATTATGTTAAAGAAAAGTTTTAAGTTGCAGATTAAATTGTAATTGAGAGGTTCGCAACGATTCCCTGCAACATTTTGAGGGAACCTATTATTTTAATCTACCACTAAACGAAAATCGAAAATCGCCATTGACCCCGCTCGACCGCTTAAGGCGGACCTTTTTGGGCATTACACAAATTACACGTCTGGTAGATGAAGTGCCTTTTATAACAGCGGGTTACTTGGCCACCATTTTACCGCCTCTACATCCTCAATTTTAGCCCGAGCTGCGCAGTTTATTGTCAACTGTGACATGTTAATTATGTTAATACTGGTCGTTTGTGTAGTGGTATACGCCATTTGACAACGTTACGGACCGCGTTATGGTCTTTTACGCAACGATAGATGACATTGTACTGTTCCTGTGAGACACTTTAAAAATGAATAAAATAATCGAGATTTTTTTAGCGTCAGGCAAAAACAGTCTTTGTAATTATGCAAAACGACAATGTCAAATTGTATTTCAAATGTATTCGGATTTCTTGTTTCATTAAATCGAGAGAACTGGAATCGATTCATATATACAGTACAGAAACTTACAAAAAAATTGTTGCAGAAACGGAAAATTGAATGGTCTATCGCGCGTCCAAATTAATAGAGACAAGTCATGTTATCACGAAACATTTCCAGCATGATGTGAGGAACAGTAACCTATCCGAAGATCAAGTTGATCTTTATTATTTATTAGCAAGAAGCTAAAGAAGGAATATAAAGATATATCTTAAAATATCGAAAGCTACGAAATATATTAAAACAGAGAACGAAATGCATTGAATTCTTCAAATCTGTTGTGAAATACATTAAAATATATTAAAAAATCAATACACCGCAAACTTCAAAATGCTTCGAAACACTTCAAATACATTGGAAAACGATAATTTTCGACAACCAACCTGTCGGCAAGAATACCCTTTCTATGATTCCTAATAAGATTGCAGTGTTTGAAATTAGAACATCCTGAAACATATACAGGCCATTCATTCCGAAGAACATCGGCAACGTTACTGGCTAATACAGGAGTTGATGTGTTAGCAATCAAGAGACATGGTGGGTGGAAATCAGCCACAATTTTTATAAATGTTACCAAATGTAATAACTGTACAATTACTATAAATATTCATTCATAATAAATAATTAATAAAATGTAATGTTCATAAAATATGCATTTATAACTCGAAATCGCTTTTTTCCCTAGGGAGGTAAGTTACCTCAGTTACCTCCCGTTGTCCATAGCAACTCCCACTTCTACGGTAAAATCCACTTACCTCCTTACAAACACTGTATTAATTAATAGTCTATTTACTATAGTGGGAGCAGATAAAAGACTTTACGTGAAGTAGACAAAAAACTGTAGTTTTGACACTTAAGTACCATGTAAAAGTCAACTTTTTGAAAAATATAACACATTTGATAACCTGCAAATACGAAGTTTTTGAAGTATTTTCAGATGTTTCGATATATTTCGAATATTTCTAGATTTTCGACATGTTTCGAGGTAACTTTTAGCTTTTTTAGAAGGCTTCAGAAACAATTCGAAGTTTTAGAGATATTCCTATGTAAGTATCTACATATTCCGAACTTTTAGAAATATTGCGAGATATTATTGCCTTCCGTCAGTCTAATGTTAGATTTTGATTACATTATTTTATTACCGAAAATTTATTGTTTATGGAATGGCTGTTTCTAAATTTTGCACAGAAGCTATAAAAAAATCCAAGCACTCACCTTCCTGCTGGCTCTTGGCGAAGCTGCTGGTGGCGCTCTGGTCCATCTGCTCCAGCAGGTTCATGAGAGTAGCCAGCCTGCTCCAGGCGTCTCCCGGGGACCTGCGCGCGTAAAAGACATTAATAACACACGCAAATGAGCAGCGGTCGTTAACAAATAATGATTGATCGGCGTGGTGGGTGGTAACCGATCCGAACATGTGGGGAATATTTTATTTCGCGGCCTCATTAAAATGCACGCCATTGTCATTAAGAAACACCGTGGAAAAGACGTTATTTTTTCTTGTAGTTTTTTACGTATGTACGTTTGGTTGTAGAGGTACAAGAAATTATTTTTATGTTAGCCTTAGTTTGTCTACGTATAAAGACTAAAGCATTCGTTATCGACCTTACAATGACCAAAAGAAGAAAAAATTGAAAAACCATAGTAACCAAAAATTATTCCATAAAGGATTATCAGATCCTGTCAAGCAAAAAAATATTAATAAAAATTAAAAAAAAATCAATTTTGCAAATAATAACCAAATTTTCCAAAAATTTCTTAAAATTTTTTTGCGTTATCTTTCTTACAATTTTATATTGAATATTTCAAATGTCTAGAATTTTTTTTTAATAAAAAAAAATTTGAAAAATGTGATTTTCTTTTTTAAATTTTGAATTTTTTTCGATATTTGATAAGTATTTAACACGCAGTTATGAGAAAAATAACGCAAACAAAATTGAAAATATAAAAATCCAAAAAAAAATCAATTTTGAAGTAAAAATTTTCCAGAATTTTCTTTTTTTTTGCGTTATCGTTCTTACAATTTTATATTGAATATTTTAAATGTTTAGAAAACAAATTTTTTAATATAAAATAACGCAGAAAAAAATTGAAAATATTAATAAAAATTTTCTTAAAGATTTTTAAATGAATATATTAATAAAAATTGAAAAAAAATCCAATTTTGAAAATAAAATTCAAATTTTTCAAAATTTTTTTGCGTTATCTTCTTTACAATTTTATATTGAATATTTCAAATGTCTAGAACTTTTTTTTAATCAATAATTTAAAAAGTTGTACCTAATAAAAAAATAATACGAATTTATGAAATATTTTATTATTTCTAATTAGTATAGCTAATAGTAGTAAAAAATGGATATTTTGTGCGGTATTGACTTTTATACTGTTATCCAAAAGATATTTTGAAAGCATTCAGAGCCGTACTCAGGAAAAATTTTAAATGATAGCTAAAAACCTTTTTTTTATTACAATAGTAATATCATCTAATTCAGAATTAAAAATGACTAGATTTTGTCATAAAAATTGCAGCAATTTAAAAAAATTAATCTGACGATGGCCCCTCGAAGATGAAACGTCGGATGTAAAAATGTTGACGCCATAGGATGGAGCGAAGAAAGTGGTAATGTAAATATGCAATTTATTTTAAAATTCGTTTTCAAGTAAAGATAGAAAAAAAAAATAAAACGATTTTTCAATATGACAGGTTTTCGGGTTTCGCAACAACAGTAGACTTTGCAGTTAATACAGTAGGTATTGCTGAAATCTCAAATCATCCACACATAATTTATCATTTGTGCATTTGTAATTCGACTTAGATGTAGCAACACTGTACAAAAATAAAGTTTTGCGTCAAACAATGAGACAGTTTTTTTTTAATTTTTTTTTTCGAAGAATTGAATGGTGTAATCAGTTTTTAATGTTTTTTAATTTAACCAAATTATCAATAAGTACTGAAAAATTCCTAGTGTAATTTGGTTGGACTATAGTTTCAGTGTCCACAATTTTTCGAGTTACTACTTAAATAAGGTGTTATTGCGTAAAGAAAAAGCGTAAAGAAGAAGCTGTAACTGTAGTAATAACTATTAAAAAACGGAATTATTTCATCTGTCGCAGGTTAGATATCTACTATGTCAAAGTATAAAAATTATACGCATTTTTCTATATTTGCGTTGTTTATACAATTAGCTTTATACACTTGCTTCGTTATTAAAACACTCTCACATTCAACTGGTAGAGTTACAATGACAGTATCGAACTGTCTCAAACTTTTCAGGTAATAACCCCTGCTAGGTCAATAACATCACGATTACATATATCCATGTAGGTAAACGGAAGACTGAATTTGAAATATATCAAAAATATATAGTCGTATTCTGTTCGGTGACTCGGAAATAAATACCATAATTTGGTAAGAAATTATTACATTCTACATAATGTGGTTGAAAGAAAACAAACTAGGATACTGACATTCGTTAATAGTGGAAAAGTACATACTCCACCTTATCTAAATGCATTTAAGAATCAGCAGATTTAAAAAGTTTCTGTCATTTGAGAAAAATGTATTGAACTACAACCCAAAGAAACTAAAGATGATAAGCCAAAGATATAAAGAACAAAAAGAGAGTCTCAAAAACTAACTATATGTATCCCATCAACGAAACTCAAACTTAAATATAAAAAAAAGGAATTCTTGCTAATTACTGCCAGCATGATTTTTTGATAATTGGCAGAGCAAATCGACGTCGTGACGAGAATTTAAATAGTTAGTTGAAAGCAGAGAGAGAGGGGGTGTATTTATCTTGTATTTAATTTGCTGAACTGTCAGCACGTACACACGTTGAGAATCAAGCTAATGAGCTGGAGAATTAAAATCAATTAAGAATGTAAGCACCAATATGCGAAATAAAAGATTGTAGGGCTGCAAAGGCTTAAAGAAATTTATTTCGCATTAACATATAGGATGACAAATTATTTTTATGATAAAAAATAGTGCAGAAAAATAAGGACAGAGATTGATTCAGAATGTTGCTTTTCAAATCTGATGACGATCAACACTGTTTTCTTTTATTCTAACTAAAAAGCTATTGCTTTTTTACAGTCTGTTCACTATAAAGGATTTGAATTAGTTTTAAAATCACAATATCTTTATAAAATTACTAAAGATTTTTATTTTTCTATAGATTTATCATTTTTACTTTGAATTATTACTTTGTGTTTTGGCAAAACAATTTATCTTGAAAAAGAAACGACCAACGAATACCACAGTTAGGTAAGTACTAAAATTCTAAAAAGGATTCGCAATATAATGTCTCCGGTTTAGTATTCCCTACGCCACATGGCATGATGCAATATTTCCTTTAAGAAAGTTATTTATTTGCATAGTATATTTCGTTCTGTCTATAATTCTTGTGGCGTCCGAAAACGTAAATAAATTTTTGAAAAAAAAAGAAACGCCGACAACTTAAAAATGAACGACTGTTTATGAAGCGCATGCTTACAATACTAAGCGAAATCACATCGATGTATACGGGGTGCAACAATGATGACGCGAAATATTTCTGGAGGAGATCAAACTCATCGAAATGAGAACTGACAAATAATTGTAAATTCCCTTCTGTGCATACATCTTTTCCATTTTAGTTGCAAACAATGTAATTAGCTACCATATTAGAACTTTATTATATGTGACAAAATGCGAAACCATTCGAGAAAATTCCTATTAAATCTGTCACATATTGCATATAATAGATGTTTCAATTAAAATAGTACCGATATTATAAAGGGCGATCACCTTCCTAGTTATTATCTCAGTGATGATTTGAGATTTGAAAAAAGCGCAAAATTAAAAATTGTAGAAATATACAGACCTATAGGAGGATCATATTCGATGCAAAGTAGAGCAAAAAATTGTCGGTCTTTTATCAAAGGAAAATCGTGTCATCATTTTTAGGATGCGTAAGATTTCAAATTTAAAATGAAATTGAATGTGCCAGTCGTGAACTGATCCCTTCATCGCTTCATAATGCGTAAACAAATTATTCAATTTCTAAACCCCTTAAAACCGTACTGCACTGGATCGCTTGATAAGCAATGATTTATCACTTTGCATCGAATATGATCCTACATAGTATAAATTTCATGACACATATTTTTGGTTACAACTCTGTTATTATTGGAAACACATCTATCTTATTCATTCTATAAAAATATACAAGGTGTTTCATGAAAAATATATTACGTCTGTGCTTCAATAATAAAATGTTCAATTGTTTCAGCAACATAGGTATTGAACATTTAAGAATTTAAATAGGTACCTATTTTTATATCTCGAAGTACAACAGAGATAAGAATTCTGTACATGAAAGAAATGATTTTTATTTAAATTACTACATTACTGTAGCCTACCGAATTGTATGAAAAAAAGTCAAAAATTTAAGCATAAATATATTTTCATATAATTCTGCAAAATATTTGTTTTATTGCAGTAAAATTTAACAATGTCGTCTCATTGTTGTGGAAAGCAGTACCTACATATGTGAAAACAAGAACACATTGTATCTAGATCTGTGTAAAGTATTTTAAAATTTTTCAAAAAATATTTGTATGACACTGAACACTGAAGATATTAACAGTTCTTTGTTACATTTGTGTTTCTTACACCTTTATTGTATTAGTATCTACTTAGTATGCTTTAATTCGCAAACGTCTTAAGTAAATGTTAGGCCGTATCCCCACGACATCCTCACAACATTCAAACGATATGTAAGCTCGATGCTGCGTCGGCGTATTTAATAAATGAAGCTATTCGCATGACGCCATATGACATGGAAGCAGCTACGATATGTAGTAAAAGTCGAAATTTCTTTGGATTATAACAAAAAATATACGGTTGCGACATCGAAGCGACATATTTTGATGTTATGCCGATGTCGTGTAGATAATTGAGTTAGTTGTGCATGGTATCATCCTGGTTACGAATAATTTTATGTAAAACAAACTAAAAGATTGGGATTTGCTCGTAAAACTGAAAGTACAATGTTCAAATTTATTATTTGTCGGCAAATGTTAACAGCAATATGTTAGTGACTAGTTATTACCGTCTTTAATAGTGTTACACTTCTTCGATTGCCACCATACCACTGTGAGCTGAACCCCATTGAATTAATCCAATACGTAATATAATATACGGACATATACTTCAACATATTGTTAGTAAAATATTTTTTGCACGTGGAAGAAATGTATCAGTGTTGCAAACCACAACTTGTTCCAAACTTTTGGGCACACACTCACCCGACTCTGAAGTCTTGCGTGGATGGTGGGGGGTTCCAAACTTTGGTGTGACCGAGCATCCAGTCGCACCACACCTTAATGGCAGGAAGCAGGACGTTAGCGTCCTGGGGCAGGGAGTTGATGCTAATGTCCTTGTTGGATGACACGTGGTCTTGCAGGATCGAAACGCACCGTTCCAAGATGAGGTTGAACATTTGCAATGACACCACCAGCGCTCTCTCTTGTAATTCCGATCTGTAGCCAGGTTGCATCTGCAGCTGGGGATCTGAAATAGACGACCGTCATTTAGCCACACACATTTGAATATACATAGGGGTAAATACATAATAAGCATAGTTTGACACTTCGGTGCGTTAACAAAGCGGCGAGGTGGGGGGGGGGTTCAGAAACAGTCGTCAGTTGCAATTATAATGAAGACACTGGTAAGTGTAAATAAGTTTATACAGTCGTGGACAAAAAAGATTGTACAAAGTATTTGGAAGAGTCTGAAGCACATAGCGTCGTGTTTTTTCCAAAATTGAAACTGTACTCGTACAAAACCGAAAGTTGTAACTATTTTCTGTGCGCATACTCAGATATGACTAGTAGGAATATCACTACAATAACATATGTTATTGTAGTGATACTGTGTGTGTGATAGTGATACTGTTTTAATGATTAATGGTCAAGCTTATTCAATGTTTAGGAACACCCATTGATTTGTTACAATGTATCGAGATGCCATTAACACAAATGTTTCACTGTTTCAGTGAGAGTCCGTAATGATCGTAATTGTACCGTTCCCATGTTAAATAACACGGAAAATTACGAAAATAATGATACCTCGACACGCTCGAGTAAAAAACTAAACGGCAAGAAATCCTTTCAATCAGAGTGGAATGCAGTGAATTTACCATGGTACAGTTACCGAAAACTGTAGATCCTAGCCCCAGGCCTAGGTCAACAAACATGTATAGGAGTAACTCTGGACACAGAAATTAATATGGGTTGTAACATATATTTACTCATAAATAAAAAAAATCCAAAACATGTATTTATGTTTGTTAAACAAATGTTAAAAATTATATACAGTGCAAGAAAAAGTGAATACAGATATTGCCCAAAATACAGTTGTAACCTTTCTGTAGACAATAAAGCTTTCATATTATATGGCGAACAGGATAATTCTAAGTGTTTTCCCTTTTCTAGTTGATTCGATTAAAGTATAGTGCAAAATATTGGATATAATAATAGCTACATTGTCAAAAATTCCGCCAACCAGATGCAGTATCTCTAAAAAAAACAGTAGTAATGTAAAATCCCATGATTAGAGGCCAAAGTTCATTGATCATATACCAAAGGCCAATGGTTGGATGTCAAAGGCCAATGATCGAAGGCAACAAGTCAAAGACTGCAGGCTAACGGTCAATGAACGCCCAAAGTATTTAGAAGTATTTTGAAGGACCTACTGATTTTTACGTTTTTAAAATGACTTCAATGTTCTACTGAAGAAAACTAGTACAGTCATTGGACCTGAAAATGAGCTGTAACCTCCGAATTCTTTGAAACTGCACGAATTTGCATGAAAATTTAGAATAAGGGTCATCTTAGGCTCAAGTTCAAAAGTAACATAAGCCCGATTGACGCTTTTTGTTATTTAGGGGTAAAAACCACCCCCAAGTGAAAAAAATTGAAAAAATTAAGTTATAAGCATTTTATTGATAAAAATCTTGTTCAAGCACAAAAAGATTAAATAATGTTCTCGAACATGTTTTATAATATATTTGATCTTTTCAACCCTTTATTTAATCCTTAAAAACTACCCCTATGCAAAAAATAATGATAAAAAATTACTTTTTAAAGATTTGGAATGATTAAATCGTGCAATTATTTAAAATAAAAGTTACCTTATAGCTAATAAAAGAATTTTTCCCTTTCACCCCCTGTATTGACAAAAATAATGAAAAATTACTTTTTAAAAACTTGGAATGCTTTAACGGTGCAATTATTTCAAATAAAAATTCCCTCATTGCTTATGAAAGAATTTATATCGCACAACACTTTTCAACCCTTATAAATCACCCCTGTGCTAAAAAAATTACGTTTTAAATCTTGGAATGCTATTATTGTGCAATAATTTAAAATAAAAATTCTCTCATATTGTTTATGAAAGAATATTTTACTTTTGCCATTTTCAACTCTTATAAACTACCCACCCTTTTACTAACATTTTCCTCCAAAAATGAGAAAGCCTATTTTGCTCCGAAAAAATGTCATTGGTATTTTTACCATAACTCGGTTAATTTTGAAGCTATAGTATCCTACAAAAAAAGCATTTTAAAGATAATTTCAAGAGCTGTAAGATCGTTTGCATATAAAACCTTTTAAGTCCTTCATTTTTTAAAGGGAAATGATCGAAGGGCTCGAGACAGGTCGTTTTTTCACTAAAATGGATACTTCAAGCGGCGATATCTACTTTATTTTTTATGCTATAGGAATAAAAGAAAAAGCAAAATATTTGTTGAAAAAATGCTACATTTTTGTTGTCTATCATTTTTTACGTATTTTTCATAGTTTCAGAGTTATCATATAAATAAGGCAATATGATTTCAAATTTTACCGTACATTATTCAAAAAATACGCATTCTAAACCGGTCTAACTTCAGGATCGTATGAAAAACACTAAAACAAAACTAATTGTAAAGGATCCACGATTAATTGTAATTCTGATGGAAATGGTACAGCGTTTACTGCACATTTTTCCTTAAAAAATATGAGCAACCCATCTGTTTTTGACGATAACTCCTTCAATTTTGGTCTAATTAACTTTTATAAGTGCTCATTTTGAAGGTCTTTTTGAGTACTACAAAAAACTCCAGGAGCGTTATACACGTAAAATTAATCCCTTTTCCGTTATTTGACGTTGAATACATCGATTCGAGTATTCCCCTCAAAACAAGTTCCCTTCCACTAACCATATTTCGCTTTGTATAGGACGTACAACACTTTTTAAAAAACTATTTTCTTTGTTTATTTATAAGCTACATTTTTGTTCATTACACTTTTTTTAATAAATGCGTAGTTTTTGAGTTATTCGCGAAAAATATTTTGAAAAAGTGTTTTTTTTTTTACTCAAAATTCCAAGTTTTCAATCGTGAATAACTAAAAAACTATTGATTTCTCGAAAAAATTATTCGAATATATTTTGCTCAAAATTTGATTCTCTATCGAATTCCAGCGCTATTTTTGAAAAAAATATTTCCATCCCCGAGAAGGGGTGTCAACCCCCAACAGGGTCGAAGCGTCAATCGGTGCAATGTCACTAATGTTCATTGACCTTTTCTCTAACTATCTGCCAAATTTCAAGTCGATCGGTTAAGTTTCAAAGAATTCGGAGGTGAAAAGCTTCAATGACTGTACTACACTGAAAAGACCACTTTTTGAGGTCGTGTTGTTCACAACCATGACTCTCTTGCCAGTTCCAAATTACGATATCCTCCCTGTACATTTGCGTCGAGGGATAGATAAATCTGTGCAATTATTACTATCGGACATTCCTGAGTGCGCTAGATTGGCGCCACTAAACCTAAGTATGCCTCGCAAGGCTTCATTAACCTCATTTGTCCACGATGCGCAACACACGCGTATGACAGGCGAGCTGGTCGAGTTCCGCAGGGATCTGATCTCAGGTATTCGCGTTTTTTCGCGACGGTAAGTTACGAGTTATCAAGTGCACGAAGGGTAATAAAAGTCTTAAAAGCTTAGCGATAAGATTTTCATATGCATTGATGATGTAAAAAGTGGTTTAAAATTACTCCCAGGAAAATACCAATTAAATGCTGTTGTTTAATAATTGGTATGTCCCAACAATTACACCACCACACAAAAAAAAAGTTGTCTGAAATGTACATGCGACATATGATTTCCGATGTATTTTCGCCCGCTGAACACGAATCCGGAGACAGAATTTCTCCATCACCCTTCAATTTTCAGCAAAACGCTGAAGAATCTTCTGAAAAATGAAAGTTTACGAGGGTCAGTCAAATATAAACCGGACTTTTGTTTTGACAGCAAGTGAACTGAGCGGAGCTGGCAACTGAGCAGGGTTATTGCAGCCGGGAATGTGGGGAGGGGATTGAAGCAATTGCGCGCGCCTGTCGCCATTCTGGCTTATCAGTACAGACATGTCTGAGCAAGTGGTTACATCGGCGATTGTGCAACATGTTATATCAAGTTTTTAACAAAGAGGGAACAGCTTTTTGCACAGAATAGTGACATGTGATGAGCCATGGGTTCGATTGGAAATGAGTTTTGCTAATCGATTTTTTACATGATCGTCGGATTGTAAATGCTGCCTATTACTGCCAGCTTCTGGACAACGCAAAAACCGCTTTCAGAAACAATAGACGCAACCGGTCAATTAGTGACATGATTTTGTTGCACGATAACGCTAGGCCTCACATAGCCGCACTGACTCGAGATAAACTGAACCAAATGCGATGGGAAATCCTAGTACAGCACAGATCTGTCCCCAAGAGACTTTAATTTGTTTGGACCACTGAAGAGAGCACTAGGTGGACATTTCAATTGGACCCTGACAAGACCTCAATCTTTTTACGAAGAAGGTATCTGCAAGCGCCCCACGCGTTGTGAAAAATGTGTAAACAGTGAAGGGGGCTATGTAGAAAAGCAATAAACTTATTTTGTAATTATATTTTCACTAAATAACTTATTTTTACAAAAGTCCGGTTTATATTTGACTGACCCTCGTACCTTTTTCAGAAGATTCTTCAGTGTTTTGCTGAAAATTGAAGGGTGATGAAGCAATTCTGACTCCGGATTCGTGTTCAGCGGGCGAAAATATATGGGAAATCATATGTCGCAAATACATTTCAGACAACTTTTTTTTTATTGTGTGGTGGTGTTATTAAAAACACGCTGTATATCTACAGGCTATAACAAAAAAAAATACTTTCAATACATAAATATCGGGATACACAAATATTTTTTTCGGTTGTTTCGCTTCAAAATTACATTTCTCACAGCTGTTTCAGTTAAAATGTATTTAATTTATTTTATAACTTATGTATACAACATTTTCCGTGCTTTTGGCTTAAGTGTGTAAAAGGAACAAAGAGTATCAATCAAACAATTTACAAGAAAACTTAAATGTATATTATTTAGAAAAATAAAAACTTGGTAAAAATGATTTGATGATGAAATCTGTGTTTTTGCTTACTTCCAGTATGTTGTTGCTGGCGCCAATCAGAAAGAGCTGTAGAAGTA